TTTAGTTAATTCTAGACACTTTCTGAAAAATTGTCCGATTCCCTATTGTAGAAGCTTGTCAAAGCTGCAAGCTTTCTTATCTAATTTTATAAAATGTAAAATGTGAATATACTATACTAATTACTTTTAATATATAATTGAGAAAATATTGTAAACCCTCATCTCTTTATGTAAAATTTGCAGTGCCCTACAGGGTCCATAATGCGCAGTTACCTTAGCTTTAAGCCATTGTCATCCTTGTAACATTATGGTAAATGCAGTAAAGAATTGAATTAAATTGTTAATACAATTTAAACTTTACCCTGTTAGCATATCGTTGAAAAATCAATACTATCAATACCTATAATTTTTGCACTCCAAAACAGCACAACAAGGCATTTTTCTAGGATTTTAGAGAATTTGCACGGAAGAATGACACAACTATATCCATACAAAGCGAAAATGGCGGACTGAACTCAGATAGGCCTTTCGAAAGCTATAGTTGGCACGCGTCAGACGCTAACTAACCACTTCTACTGTATTTATTGTTCTGTGGTTATATCCAAGTCATCCCGCCATATTCTTCTTGGTCTGCCTCGTCTACTCGGCAAAGAAACCTCATTATGCAACGGTGCAAAAAATACTGTTATTCACCTAACGTGTGACCTCGATTTATGCAGCTTTAATTTTGATAACGAGATTATTTCCGTATCGCCATAGTGTAAAATTGTGAGCATTTTTTTATTCTGCGAGGTAAATACACATTCCATAATTTTATTGAAACTATAGTCTGTCTTTTTTGAAGACGGAGTAATATGGCAGTTCTTTGTGCAAAAGCTAATGATTGCAATTGATAAGTATTCTATCGACTATCCACTGAATATTGGTCACGCTCGTGGAATAGATTAGAATAGAATACGTTTATTTGCCAGAATACAGAAAAATCTTGACAAACACACAGAGATCTCTAACATACATTCTGGCGAGAGGAAGTATATTGAAGTTTTTGATCAAGGGTTTGCATGTGTCATCTGGTTTAGCACCGCAAATTGAGCGAATGCATTTCTTTTGTCGCCAACAAACGCCCTACCCATATCTACGGAACTTTCCCACAGTATTAGCCCATAACTTAATACAGAGGAGACGTACCCGGCTTCGTAAGATACAGTTTGTCGTTGTTGTGTTTGTCTTCGTGGGCCAAAGACAAATTTATTCAGCCTATTGCACACATGATCAATGTGATGTTTCCATCTTAAATGTTCGTCAAATTTGATCCCAGGAAACTAAAACAGTCCACTTCATCTACCACTTGTTTATTATAGTGCACACGAATAGGCAACGGATTACAATTATGCGATCTGAACAATAAATAGCCGAACTTGTTTAATTTGAATTATTCTTGATCCATTATTCTTCTAATTATTGAGCACAAGTTGATTTGAATTGTCAACATACATACACTGTATTTGGAACTTTGTTTTCGAATAATACAAAGAGGAGACATCATTTTAAAGTTTTTTCATTTTAATTCAATATAGATAATCAAATATGGCTATTCTTATCAAAACGTACATACACACAACTGTCAAAATAAGAATAAAGAAGGCAACGACGTAGTTAGTAATCATTAGAACGTCGTAACATTCGTAATTACTGAATTGTGAATGTTGTGAAATTTGGCCAAATGACTGCATTTTTGGCGAAATTTTATTTTGTTTCACAATCTATCAATAAAACTATTGAACAATTATATAAATATTTACATTTTTATGAAAACTGGCAACCCTACAAATGTCATTTTACTCCGTTTTCAAAAAAGACAGTCACATGCTAGCATATTCAAATTATAGTACAGAGAACAAACGTAGGTAACAAGTATACTGTGTGATGCAGAGTATCGTGATTCACAAGACGTAGAGAAATCTGTTCTATTTGCATCAATTTGCTTTGACAGCACGGTTCGCAGCCAGACCATAAAGATTGTCGTCGCCGACGTAGTTACGTAGTGGAGTTTATCTTTGATAAAATCTTTCTTATACTTGCTGACTCGTTCTTGTAAATTCAAAACAAAAGAAATTGCACATTTCTGTTAACCAGATAATTATAACCTGCTTTTGTTTATTTGTGTATATTTGGAGTATTGCACTTTATGGCTGTGAAACATGGTCACTGACTTAAATAGATAGGGAACGATTAGAAGCTTTTGAGATGTGGTGCTGAAGGAGGATGAAGGGCATAAGTTGGATAGAAAAGAAAACCCATGAGAAAGTATTGAGAATGGTAAACGAGAAAAGACAGATACTGAATACTATAGGGTATAGACGCGGGAAAATGATTGGACGTTTGGTACGACACGTCAACTTTTTTAAGACTATTTTGGAGGAAAAGATCGAGGGGAAGAGAGGAAGAGGTTGACCTAGGCGCAGTTACATGGACCAATTAAAGGAAAAGGCCGGTGTCATCAAGTATTTGCCGGAAGTTATTGACAAATTCCGTAAAAATAATCGTAAACGCCGTATCATCTTGCACCACGACAATGCCAGTTCTCACAAGGCCAGGCAGACAAATTAATTTTGGAAGGTGAACAACGTTGACCTTATGATCCATCCCGCGTACAGTCTCGACCTGGCACCTTGTGACTTTTATTTATTTCCAAAAATTAAGAACCAGTTACGCGGTCAACGATTTTCATCACTTGAAGAAGCTGTCAGAGTATGAAAAATATGTTTCAGAGATTGTCACGGAGGAGTGGTATAAATGTTTTCAAAATTGGTTCATTCGTATAAAAAAGTACATTAACGCTAACGGAGAATATTTTGAGAAACAATAAATTTATCGAGTTCTTAGGTTTTCGCGATTGTTACACATAGGAAATGAAACTATTTTTCCGGATTTAAATCGCGTATATTTGGTTTTTCAAACAAACCGACGTTTCGGGCCCTTTACAGGTCCCATGGTCACGGTTGACTGAGTTGGTACAGTCTTCAACCAGTTTTGTCTAATATTGATGCAAACCACCCTATTTTTTCACTATAGTTACAATAGTTATTAATTAAATACCTTATTTTTAATTTTACAAAGAAAACATTCCAATTTACGCTACATTAAGTTTTACAAATTATTTTATTAAATGAATTTTTATTAAGTTCAATTTATTATTAATTATTAATAGAAATTAGAATAAACTAAAACATATTAATTATTACTGCAGTCTTATGTTTGTTTGGGATTTTTCATTAAATGAAATACGCCCCACGTATTGTAATATCAATATTAAGAAAAATATTCAACAAAATATTATACAAAGTGTCCGTGTATTATATTAGTCGAGTCCCAGCGGCATTATCTTATTTCTAATAACACAATCTGCTTAACTTGATAAAGAGCTTTTATTACCTTAAAATATTCATGTAAAAATGTAATAATAAACTTTACAATAAAAAGGAATTGATTACTGAATAATATGACATTCATTAAATTACAAAAGATCTTTTATATTTTACCTGTTATTCGTACACAAAAAATCATAAGTGCTTATAGTACCTGTTCCATTAATACTGGAATGTAACAAATGTGAAAGAAGAAAAAAGAAAATACATTTATATGCTCACTACAAATGATGTAGCAAAAAAAAGATGAACTAATAATTGGAACACACAATAAAAATATAAAACAAAAAGAACGTAAAATAATAAAAAACGACAGCCTAAAAACAACAATTAAATGTACAAAAACAAAAATATGTATTACAAAAACAAAGACACTAAAAAAGGGGGCCTTGTGTGATGTTAACTGCGGTAAAATTTGCTGGTATCACGCATTGATAAATTTTAATTAAATTTCAACGAGGTATGTCTATAGAGAGGTCAGCTATAACAAACGACACGGCCGTCCAAAATGCTGCACAATTAGTCATGTCGATCTCATTTTGAACACTAATGGTGTCTGCCTCGCTGTGATGGTACCAGAAATACCGTTGATTCGCATTAAGCAAAGATGCACCAGGTACACCTTTTTTTATAAACATTGTAATATCTGAGCCTGGACTACCACTTTCGGTTATTTTATCAATAGGAGAGAATAGTTTCAATATCTCTTGTATAACACACCGGGCTTCTGGTGTTCCAGCTATGTCTAAACCCAATGGGGCAAACGTACCTTCATCAGATTCCATGATAAACGTAATATTCATAAGCTCATTCTCATGTGCTTTTAAATACGCTGCAGCACCAACCAACCCGGGTTCTTCTGCAGTCCACAAAATGCTCCTTATGGTCCTTCTGGGAGTAATTTTAAAGTATTTCAATATAACGGGCACGAACCAGCTTATCATCATGCCACCACCGTCATCCATTGCACCTTGCCCAACATCCCAACTATCGATATGTCCAGACACAATTACAAATTTGCGAGGATCTTCGGATCCTTTGAGATCGAGTATAGTATTCCGGGAAATTTTCATATCAAAGGTATTGAACATTTTTATTGTTAGAGTAATTTCTTTTCCAGCCGTTTGTAAACTGCGCATTAGGTCTGCATCTTCATGGGTTATAGCTGCTGTTGGTATCTTTGTTACGTTTTCCCCATAATATTGTGAACCCGTATGTAGAGTGTATAGAGAAAATGGCGTTACACTTCTCACTAGTGTTGCCAGAGCCCCTTTCTCAGCTGCTCTAGTTGCTCCTTGAGTTCTATAGATTACTGTTTTTCCATATGAAATGAAAGGTGGATCAAACACAACAATTTTTCCTCTTATTTGACTTTCGTTTATGGTATTTAGGTCTTCAAAACTTCTGACTACTATAACTTTAGCTGTAATACCTTGTGGCGGTGTGCAGATGCTGGTACCAAAACCGAGTATAGCAATATTTTTACGTCTGGGACTAATCATTACAGCTGATTCTTCTCCTCGAACCCAATGTGGTACCTGTAATTGTAAACAATTAAGTTGCAAATTATGTCTACAAAACCTGTAGGATAATAACAAATGAGGAACTTACATTCACATCTTCAGTGGTGACTCCATCTAGACCGTTTTTTAATGCTAAGTCTATCATGTGATCTATAGCTTCTTCCAGAATTTTACTTCCCGAAGGACGTGCACCGAATATGTCAATAAATTGTTTAAATCTGAAATTTAAAAATGATCAAATCAATTGGTAATTAAAAGATAAATGCCTGCGTTTATATTTGTTTGCTAATGGATATTTTCTCTAATTAATGGAGGATCAGTTGTATATAATTCATGTAAATTGTTGACTTACTGTGAAAAAAATTTCGTTCCCCATTTCTGTGTTATTTCATTTATGATGAATTCTGTTGTATTTTTGTATGAAGCTATTTCTGCAATTAATGCCGGATCTAAATTGCACTTGTTAATCACGTTATTGTCTGGTCCATTTATGATCACGGTACACTTAACACTAAGTATTTGTATTAATATTAACAACAATAGTGAGAAATTCATTATAAGCTAATACTTATTGAGATTCACTCCAAGACTAAAGATAAATAAGAGTCGATGGTTTATTTTACATAGTTCAAAGGTCAGAGATAGCAGAAACTATACTAAGAAGATTTGACTCAATTCGTTATAGATATGACATGAATATTTCGATGGACCTACTTAATTGTATGTGTAGTTGTATTTCTGTTTAGTTTGTTATTGATTAAAACACCATTTATATAAATGCTTTTTTTGAATCAAGGCCAGCTTTTAACTTTTCTGTATCTCACACATGTCTCATTCTTTCTTTGAATAACTTAACTACATCTTATAATTAGCACTAAAAGTGTTAAGTGATAGAGACAAATGGTTACCTATCAGTAGTCCGAAATGACATTTTCCAGAAATAACGTTTGGTCGAAATTTTATAACCTGGAAAGTAATTTTGAGAGGAAAATGTTTTTTCTTTTAAACCTAACTTCACCTAACCTAACCGAACCTAATCGTGTCTTTGCGATAAACATTCAACATATCCTGAAAGAACAACTGTTTCGTTATAATTCGGTTTTCGGTGTAATGAATATTCGAACAAACGTTATTTCGGACATAAAAGTTTTCGAGTTTGTGATAGATTACCAGACAAATACAGAAAGCTGACGGCTAACCTTCAAGATTGAAGAGGCACTCTAAGAAGAAGAAGAAGAAAAGTATTAGATTAATATAAATGTTCATTTTCAATTTTAAATTGAATGTACGTACGTATTAACACGGACCAGTAGCATAAGAGGACTGCTTGTCTCTATACTACAGATCAAAATCCGTCTTATATATACATGGATGGCACTGATCGATAATTTATTTATTTATTTTATTTCTAATTAAAGATAATAATCCAAGTAGTTTATAATGTGTAAATTGCTATGAATATCAATTAATTTCCCTTTAATATGGAATACAAGTAGTCAGTTATTTTTCCTTATAATATTCAATAATTTAACATGAGCTAAAATTATTTTCTGAACTCTGACAAATATGCATGCATGTAACACATCCGTATCAACTTCTATTGATATAGATGTGTTACAAACTAATTTATGGATGACCGCCAGCTAATATGGGTAGATGGCGCTAACCTTAAACAAAACAAAAGAACAACTGACAGAATCCATAAAATCTGTGAAGTAAGCGCCATCTAGTTGATTTGTGTGTTACCATTAGGAATTAGAGTAGTTTTGATAAGTTGTAGCTCGTTAATGTAAAAAATATTAGTAATAAAATTAGTTATTTAGTACTTGTCGCGACATCTACTCTACCAATAGATACTAAATACCTGATTACGCTGTCTTGTATTGTCGCGATTAGTATTTTTCTTTACTTATTGGCCCATGGTATTGACAAGCTAAACTAGATGATTTTTTTTATTTCAGAGTTATACTTTGGCGAGTGTCTGTACGTCTATTATGGAGATTTTTCTTAGACTATGTACTCGTTACATAACATAATACATTGAGTATATAACCAGATATAGAGACGAATTGTTATTTAATTTGTTTGATAACTATTCTGCCAAATCATTACGGTGACGACTGCGCTCCGATTGGCCAGCCCGAATTCGAATTCGATTCAATACGATCAGTTTACCTTGAGCTTTATTATAATGGATGAAAATAGAAAAATTACATATTTGATATTTAATTACCGATGTAATGTGATTCTGTTTGTTTTGTAATTATATGTTTTGCTATTTTTCCCATACAACCGAATGGAACAGCCCCACATAGTTAGTATATTATATTTATTACAATAACTACATAATATTTTTGGAATATACGGAGACGTACACACAGGTCAGTTGTTGGCGCTGTACTATTTCAGCTTTGTAATTTGTGATTTCAGTGCAAACGAGAGTTGATATTTAAAAGTGATATAAGGCCCATTTGCCTGATGAGTTGAATGGATGGATGACCCTTATTTCGTCTCTATTTTTGGTTATATACTCGATGACATAACAGAACATTAAATATAAATAACTGAGCTTGCAATTGTACTTAAGTGTATAAAGTTGAACTAACCACTCCAATTGTAGTGTAGTATAATATATACGTATTATCCCTAGATCAACGAAGTCAATCTTGTGCTGTCATTCGGTTGTTTCACTCGCAAACCTCATAACCTTATATGGCGACCCTGCCATGTCTGAGTACTGCCGGTGGCGCGGCGACTCATGTTGCAAATAAAAAATAAATGATGTCTGGCTTTGTGCTTTTCAAAATGTGTAACTCGCAATCTCCGAAACCACAGCCACAAGTGACTTCCCAAATTGGTTATCAAAATACGGTAACCAATACCCAGGTAGAAACTCACATTGGAATGATCTCCTGGTGTACGCTGGCATTTATAATAATTTTTTTACAGGTCGGCACAATCATAGTCGTACGCTACTGCGTAAAATGCTTTAACAAAAGGGTCGACTGTGGAGTCGAGACTGGGGTGCTACGTCTACAGAAGATCGGTTAATAGCCTACAAATAAACTATATTCCTCTCTGTGATGAGACGTTGTGATAATACGGTGTGCGTGTGATGTGTTCTTGTGAAAAGTGACTATAGTGGAATTTAAAAGGCGTAAATCGCCATGAACCTTTATGTATGTGGTTATTATGGCGGAAAAGGTGCGATAATTTTGACTTTTTAACACATTAACTTACAATTAAGTCAATGTTTTAACATAAGAATTTTTTACTCAAATAATGAAACTGTACATTTAGAATAAATATATAAAGTTTAGGTATGTTTATAATAAGGTGTAATTAAGTACAAATTTTGTAAGTAATGATTTAATGTTGTGCGATTTTTATGGCTAATTATTTGAATAAACTATATGAGGAATAACGTACTATTAGAGAATATTTAATTAAAATCGGACCTAAACGGCAAAAATATAGTAAATCAGCCAAGAAAAAGTTACAAAGCGCCGAAATTATACTGACGCAGTATAATAATTACTTAGACTCTATTCAGAAAGTGTTACAATTTAAGAGTGAATTAGAAAAGGAAGAAATAAATAGGTGTTGTACAGCTATCCGAAAATTATACGCAGAAATTCAAGCTTTGTCTCCCGCCGCAGAACCCGGAGAAGCGGAAGAGGAAACTGAGGAAAGCGAGGAAGAATCGGAGGTAAGTGACAGTAGCTATAGTGAGAGCGAGTCTTTACCAAATATGGCGTAATTTGACTTAAAAATTGCGCTTAGTCTTATGCCGGTTATGACTGACAACGAAGAGAAGACGAAGGGATTAATTGACGGAATAAGTCTATTCCGTCAATTAATTCCTACTACGGATCTACTTTAGCACCTTCAGAAAAAACGCAATTAATTTCCTTTGTTTTAAAGACCCGTCTTTCTCAAACGGCAAAGTTAAAAATATTAAGTAAATACGAGACGATTGCAGACCTATTTATGGATATGCAGATACACTTGCTACCCCTAAAGGCGGCAACTGCACTTCAATCGAAGTTGCAAACTATTAGGCAGAGAACAGAAGAACTATTCGGACAGGAAATTTTGGAATTATTTAGAGATTTAACTATTTCGTAGGCCGACGGAAACACAGACCACTATAATATTTTGTGTCTACTGAAGGAAAAGTTCGCTATAAAAAGGTTTGCCGACGGCCTACGAAATCGTCGAATCGGAACTATAATTTCAGCATGCGATTATAAATCGTTCAAAGACGCCGCACAAGCAGCCGAGGAAGAAGAAATGACGTCGGTTCCAGGTCCTGCTGATATTCTAGGCATACGCAGACAGGGGCGAGGTAACTTCATAACACGTAAGAGTTACAGAGGACAGCGAGTTTCCTATACAAGGGGACCACGATATTCTGGGGGAGGTAATCAAAATTACAAATACACTCCACAACCCCAATATCAAACTAATACCAGAGGTCCGCCACGTGGCGTAACGTCAAGAGGTAGGTACAATTTCCAACGCCGTCCTTACATACAAAGGAATGTTATGAATATTAATATCCAGATGAATATGAGCGCGATCAACCAACTATGGACACATGAATAATTTTTTTCGAGCCTAAATATGTTAATGCATGCAATAGTTTGATTCGAACTCCAATGCAATTAGAACAATAGCGTTGTAATTAGTTAATTGACACCGGTGCATCGATTTCCGTTGTCAAGTCCGATCAAATCATAAGTTTACAAATTCCATTCCATAAACAAAGGCTACGTATAAACGGAATCGGTGGAAGTGTATATTCGGCCGGATTTGTTTATTTAAAATTGAATATAAACGAACTTGTTTTCGAACATAAATTTTACGTATTTGAAAGGATACCTAGTAACACTGATGGAATTTTGGGACAAGATTTTCTTCAGAAACACAAATTAATTTTGGATTTTGAATTAAATACCATAAACTTGACTACAGAGAGCGGAAAATCGGTGTCACTGAAACTTCAATATATCGATAGTCATAATTATTCATATTTGTCAGTACCAGCCCGAAGGGAAACTATTCACTATTTTGATACAAACATTGTAGAGGACTGCGTTTTAAATTCACAAGAATTATGCAGCGGAGTGTACATAGCTAACACCATAGGAAGGCCGAACAACGGAAAAATACCCTATAACGTCATGAATACGAGAGATAAAGGCGTAACACTAAATTATTTTAACTTATATATGTCACTTACATATGTCAATTTAATAAACGAACAATAAACGCTGAAAGGGTCAAACAATTGTTTTCACTATTAAAATTAGATGGTTTGAATGATGAAGATCAAAAGGCAATCGAAAATATTTGCGCTAAATTCCCCGACGTTTTTTTCTTACCTGGCGACAAATTAACAACTACATCCTTATATGAACAAACAATAGAATTAAAACAACAAAGCCCTCCTGTGTATATTACGTATTTTCGACTTCCACAAGCGCAAAAAGGAAGGAAATAGATGACGGAGTAATAGAAGAAAATAGGAGTGCCTGGTCAAGCCCACTATTGCTAGTACCGAAGAAGTTAGATTCATCGGGTATCAAAAAATGGCGTGTAGTCATAGACTATAGAAAATTAAACAATCAAATTCAAGACGACAAGTTTCCTTTGCCAAATATTTCGGACATTTAGGATTCACACTCCGGTGCAGTTTATTTCACAACACTCGATCTGTATCAGGGTTTCTATCAAATTAATTTACATAAAAATAGCCGTCCATATACTGCATTTACAACTTCCAAAAACCAATATCAGATGACGAGACTAGCTATGGGACTGAAGACCAGCCCTAACGCTTTTTCTAGGATGATTACAGTTGTGATGTCAGGATTACATTATGAACAATGTTTGGTTTATCTAAACGATTTGTGTGTTTTGGTCGAAATTTAGAAAACCATAATAAAGATTTGATGGACGTGTTAACGCGCTTACGAAAAGTCAACTTAAAATTAAACCCCGTAAAGTGCAAATTTTTACAAAAAGAAATTCTGTTCCTCGGACACGTGGTATCCGAAAATGGTGTTTCACCTGACCCTTCAAAAACTCAGGCTTTAGCAGATTACCTAAGGCCACAAAGCACGGAAGAAGTGAAGCGCTTTGTAGCTTTCGCTAATTACTATAGAAAATTTATCACGCACTTCGCAGAGAAAGCTTGTCCTCTTAATAAATTATGTGCAAAAAAGGCAACATTTTTATGGACAGAGGATTGTGAAAAATCATTCCAGGAATTAAAGTAGGCTCTTATAAACCCTCCAGTCCTTCAGTATCCCGACTTTCCGTTTAATAATGAATTTCTATTGTAGATCGACGCATCTGGAATAGCTATAGGTTCGGTACTATGCAGTAGGGATGGTAGACCTGTGGCTTACGCAAGTCGCAGTTTAAATAGAGTCGAAAAGAATTATCCCACTATCGAAAAAGAATTACTAGCGATAGTGTGGAGTATAAAGTAGTTTCGACATTATTTATACGGCAGACGGTTTAAAATACAAACAGACCACAGACCACTAGTATACTTATTTGGAATGCGTAATCCCACAAGCAGATTAATGAAATTCCGATTACAATTAGAAGAATATAAATTTATAATAGCATACATAAACGGTGCGAAAAAACGATCATTTTATTTTATTATCCCCCTCCGGGGAAGATGTAGTGTATATACATATTATCCCTAGATCAATAAAGTCAGTCTTGTGTCGTCATTCGGTTGTTTCACTCGCAAACCTCATAACCTTATACAATATGTACGCATAGTTCCGTGGGATATTTGTAGTTTGCGTACAAATTGTTTAAGATATAGGTACTTGAGGTTATGCAGTGGAATAGGTTTTATGTCAATTGAATGCAATGATCATGTACATTGCGGTAATGGAATGTTGTTACTTATTTCAAGCTAAATACGGTTTATTTCCAATGAAATTGGAAATTGAATTTCGTACCTATGAATATGTGTTTATCAATTTAATGTTACATGTTGTTTCAGACAAACTATATTATTATCATGAATAGAGGGTGTAATAATAATTTCGTATATTTTTAATACAAGGTACATAATTTTTTTAATAATATCAAGTGACGGGATGAACATGCGTATTGTGGTCGGCGACACGCCTATCCATAACAGTTGCAGTGCCACTCAGAGCTATAAATAGCAAAGTTCTGAGGGGCACTGCCACTGCGCCCATCGCCTTTAGACATAAGTTGACAAGTCCCACGTACCTGTAATTTCATCAGCACCCTTACCCTTCAAAACCGGAACACAGTAATGCTGACATTACTGCTTGGGGGCAGAAAAAGTTAAGGTACTACTCTGGACAAGACCTTTCACAAGGAGCTCTACTGCTGACATGAAACGTATTTTTAATAACCATCTCCTCGAAAACGATTTCCGCAGTAATCGCCAGTACGGATTCCGACGAGGGTGATCTCCTTGTGTATGCTTTTTACATATGGAGCGAGGCTATAGAAGAGGAAAACGAATCCCTTGCAGTGTCTTTGAACATTTCTAAAGTCTTTAACAAGATATGGCACGCAAACCTTAAGCAAGCTTTACTCTTATGAGCTTTTCAATGACCTTTACAATTGGATATCAGATTTCTAGAGTTCGATCGAGAGCGTTCAATTCGTCGATTCGATCTTACTACACTACATTGGGCGGTAGAGTTTTGGAGTGCGTCAGGGTTCCGTAGAGTCCGCAACTCCCTTTCTACCGTATATGAACGATATGTTAATTCCAGGTACATTTAGTTATACTGATAACAGCACAGTTGTAGATAGGTACTTGTCAATGCAAGGGTCAGTGGAAAAGAAATCAAGTCTTGTCGATACTACATGATTAGACGTTTGGATTTGACACTTACGGCTGTCTCCGATAGGGGTGGTGCCAAACTTATCCATACCGATAGCCGACCATCGCCAGCTACTTGGAATGAACTTCGGCAGATAAATAGAATCCATGGCTAGAAATGCAGCCAGGAAGCTTGACATCCTTTTCCTTTCCTTCACACCAGGACAGTTGCTACAAAAAGCTGTACCAAACACAGGTCCGGTCATGTATAGAGTACTGCTACCATCTATGGGATAGTTCTGCTGAATACCAACTAGTAGCCTTGGATTCTGTTGAAAAGCCTGTCAAAAGCATAGGTGACTCGGATTTGTTGTTATACTACTCGCGCACCTCGTTCACCCCTCGCTACCCCAAAAGTTACCCGTCTCCGTCTTGAGGACGCTGTCGTTGTCCTGTAGTTGGGTACCCGAGTTCCTAGCATTTAATTAACGTTTATTTATCATTATTAACTAGGACACGGTGATATTATGAATTACAAATGTCCGTTTCAATAGTTTAAAGACAAAACCGAAAATCCCGAAAAACCCGGTTTTTCCTTAAATAAAAACCAGGTTCCAAAATGAGCGGTTATTAGGTGTCTGATGTGTCCGTAGAACTTTAGGATGTGAGTTAATACCATAGCAGACAGACGCTGCTTGATGCCGGCGCTGTAGCGCATCGTCGATGTTTGCTCAAGCGGGAGCAGATCACTTTATTGCTGTGGTGTGAAAAAAGACGGCATCACTACTCTTTAGATTGCGTTCTAGTCCTAACAGCATCCTGCAAACGTTTGCATCTAACCTGGATGCGCCGATGCTTTGTCATTTCATCCAGATTCTAGTGAGGTGATGGGGTAGTCGGCGCCTTGAGCAACAAGAGTTACAAGTAGGCTTTGGATGGCAAATAAATGATTTATTTATTATTATTATTAATATTCAGACCAGCCAGATTTTACTGGGCTTTTTTCTATTCCTCCTTATTTCCTTCAGCCTATCCATTGCTGTTCTAGATACTACTGTTACAGATAGAGTCAGATTATCGATATATTTACTAGTATTTCGGTCCCGTAGAGTATTTGAAGTGATTTTCATTGCTCTGGTACTCATAGTACAAGGATTTCCCTGGTACAAGACTAAGAAATTGGTGTGGTTGTATGGTACAGTTGGTGCCCTTACTTATATATCGACTATTTGTACTAAGTGCCATACAAATAGTGGATACGTAAGTGAGGGCACCGACTGTACATTATTATTATTATTTTCAGCCAGTATCTTTGTTCCACGTGTATTCTATTTCCAATTTTGTCGCCAATTTGTGAATGTGTTCATATATCCTTAATTAAATAGGCTTAAGTTTGACTACGTAACCCTAAATTAATACATAGTTTCAAAGTTCAATAATAAGGGCAAGCATTAAACTTAAGTATAAGATTACATTTCAGTTGTTGCGAGCGAGTTGTATGAGCATGAAAGTAGATCCTAATAAACTGCCTCGGCATATACTATGCCGATGACATATACCGCGAAAATTCATTGTTTACGCGGTATCGAAAACCTATGTGTGATAAGAGCGATGCCACATTGCTATCGGTGCATTGTGTCGTCGCCGTGGTCGAAATGCTATGATTTCAATGTACCCAGTACTGCTACATGAACATGCGGTAGTGTAATGTAACACCGCTTAGAATACGCACCGCAGCACCCCTGTCCGCTTTGTCTTGTGGCCCCTTGTCCGATGCGCACGTGTTCCGTTTTCGCGCGCAGTTTCAACGCGCAAGGTGGGACGTAGTTCTAATTTATATTAGTATAACGCAGTGTCACCACGCTCTGGCGTCGCAACGCCGAGGCAACGAAGCGTATGTCCTCACTCTAAGAGCAATGAGAGAATGTTGCGATGCGTAGCGATACCGCATTGCCTAACGCCTGTGTGGTTTTGGCGCGTTCTTCAATGGAACGTACCGGCAGCGCCCGTGTGGCATCGCTTTAACATAAACGTGTTGGCATAGTATTGTTTGTCGCTGATATATCGTGACAATTTCGCAAATAAATGTTACACCCTCCGATCGAACACCGATGTTTCCAATATTGTTTACATCTGCGCGATATGCGTGAAACCCGGCGTTCGTGTTTGCTATTGATTGATTCGGTTTTCCATTTTATCAGTCGCGGTTGCCTAAACAAAATTGTGAAATTGTAAATATTGTGTGCTCAAGCTTTGTTAGTTTATTTTACGGTTTTTCGAAAGTCGACGACGTTGTGTATTGAGTATACACGAAATTGGTTCCGATTCGTGAGATCTGTGTGAAGTAAAATAATTAAGTGAATTGGTGTAATATTTTTGTTCATATTCTTTTATGCTTTGCTTTTTTTTGCAAATATTCTTTGTAACATAAAGGGCCGTTCAGGTAACATAAGTAATATTAGCTACCGCTGTGGGTAATGAAATACGAGTCGTACTCGTATGCGGTATTCCTACTGGTCAAACCTAAGCAGATATCGCGGGGTGTGAGGAGAATCGCGCCACCAATTTGGCAAAGCAAGCGAGAAAATATCTCCGACCTGGGCGGTATGCTGTCGTGCTTATATCATATCATATCGTTTATTGCATTATGTGGTACAGTAAGGTCTTAAAAATAATACATAACATGATCCAACATAAACCCTGTAAGGGCACAGCAATTTGACTTACTTCACTAGGTACATTGTAAATTATTAATTATAATCGATGAATTCTTGCAAATTGTAAAAACAGTTCGACAGTAAAAAAACCTTTAACTTATCAACAAACATACGTTCCGTTTCAATATTTCGTATTATGAGGGGTATTTTATTATAAATTTTTATTGCCATATGGTGTGTGCCAGAAGATACAATGTGTAAATTTGTAAATGAACCGACCAATTTATTTCTTTTCCTTAATCTAGCTTTATAAGTATCATTACTTTCTTGTTCAAATAGATGCCTATATTTTCTTACAAACTTACAAATTTCTAATATGTATATTGAGGTAAGTGTTAAAACATTTACGACTAAACTTTAATTACGATAAAAACAGCCTTATATCTTTCTACGTTAGTCTTGATTATAATGACCCTGCCTACCCACACTTAAGGTATACGAGAAGGGCACTATAATCTGTGCGTGCACAGGAACCTTCTAAGTTCAAGTTTTGATCCCAGGTCAGCCAGTGTAAAGGGTTGTCACAAACCATTGTCACTGATTTTATCCGGTTCTGAAGGGGCTAGTGCAGTACCCTCCCTATTTTCCGGACAGGTACCGGAGCTGTAGGCACGCTTACTTCCTGTTGCGCTACTACCGTTGCCACCGCTAAGCCGTCGACTCTAAAGTCGCCGGAGATGCCGAATGCATTGTCCTGCGACCATATCCGGACGTAGCTTCTGACGTTAAGGGCAAGTCAAGTGCCCCGCGTGTCTCCTCGTCTAGACCACTACTAAGACGCGCTAGCTGCGTACGAGGCAGACGCTCCGGCTTACAATAAGAACAGTAATAGTATAGTTAATATTGTAAGCACGGCAGTATGGCGCGTTATTTCGGTTCAGCTTTAGCCCCGGAACGTCACACCAATACTCGGCGGGACACTGTGCGGTATTTCTCTCACAGAGGTAGCGATAATCGCTTATATCTGAACACGCCTTATTATTTTTCACTTCGTAACAAAATACGCAATATTTTTGTTGATGATTATAACACTGTATTATCTTGTTAACAAGGATGTATTCGTAATTTTGAATGTCCTCATTTTAATAAGCGTTTTTATATTTATAGTCGATATTTAGTACCAGTATTAGGTCTGGCTTTTTTAAAGAATGTAGCACGAAAAATAGGTTCGGATCCAATCTGATCAGTCAATGCAAATTCGAGTCACGTCGTGGCAAAATTTCGTCACACCATTCGCTGTGAATTCGTGACAGAGTTGCGAAATATTATTCCTAATTGAAAATTTCATAGCCGTTTATTTAATGTGACGTGTTGCGAATATATTATATATGAAACATGAGTGTAATCCCTTCGGCTTATGTATTTAATTGCTGGGTTTAATTAGGCGCCGTAGAAAAACATTTCAATTGTGACTTATTGAGTTCGTGGCGAGCATTGAAAAGGCTTTATTCTAGGATAAGGATCTAAATCGCGTTTAATTGCTTGTTCTTTCTTTTTTTTTGTCACGGTTGACTGAGATGGTAAAGTCATCACCCAGTTACGTCTAATATTAATGCAAACCATACTATTATTAACCGACTTCAAAAAATTAGGAGGTTCGCCATTCGATTCTATGTTTTTTTTATATGTACGTTACGCCATTTGTGAACCGATTTTGATGATTCTTTTTTTGTTGCAAAGAGGGTCCCTCAGATGTGGTCCCATTTAAATTTGAAGAAAATATTCCACCTCTAAGGGTAGTAAACTAGGGGATGAATGACTTTTGAGGTCGGTTTTTTTGGTACTCTGTACTGTTTTTCACTATAGTTACAAAAGTTATTAATTAAGTAGGGAAGAGCGGGGCTGAACGTTTCCATTTTCAAATAATTTCAAGTTTTATACTGATAATGAAGGATTTGATTTTCAACATGTGGAAATATTGAACAAATGTTTATCGCTCTTTGTAATAGTATAGTCACTTCTACTAATACCTCACTAGCCTTTTTCATAGAGGTAAATTTTTGACAAATTTCGAAGCGACACATTCAGCACCGCTTTGGGGCGCGTTGTTCCGCCTTTGAGGCAAATTGTTCCGCCTAGATTATGACAGAATAACAAAGATTTTCTTAAATAAAAACCACCTTTTTTGTAATTGTATGCATGTAATGTTTACATTATTCACAACTAACTTAAAAAAAAACAACTACATTCTTATTCATGAGTAATAATATTCATCGCTTTTTTCTTCATCTGAATCACAATTGAGACACACATAAGTGACTCTATCATCTTGTCTAAATATTTTTTAAGTTTGTGGTTTCGCAAACTTAAAACAAAGAAAAATGGTCATAAGAATTTTAAGTATCATTGCAGGTCAATTGGGGAAGTTGTTCCTAGGAACAATTAGCCCCTCGAGAGAGGAACTTATAGCCCCAAATTACGTTTTTATACGAAGATTGACATACCGGCAAAGCAATAGAATCAATGGAAAACATGTTCAAACAATAAGATTCCTTACTAATGTCACTATAATTTAGAAAAGTTACGTATGAATCGGCCCATAATAAACAAAGACAGACCAAAAAATTTAAACAAGAAAAAATGTATTTACATGATGTTTTGACAGCTCCACGCACATAGCCACACTTCCGTCGTCACTGGAGTAACTAAAATGGCCGCCGGCAATGCGCATCACCTGACGCTTTAACGACGTGCTTCACATGTTTTGCTATATATTTTTCTTGCAAAGATATGGCTGTGAGAACAACTTACCCCGGGAACTACCAGCCCCGGTCTCCCCTACCTTATTTTTTATTTTCCAATTTACGTTACATACCTTTGAGAAATTATTTTATTTCATTTTAACAATTAAATTTATTATTGAATTGACATTTAATTATTTTTTGTGAAATTATTCCACTAGTTTGTTATAATTATTATTACAAAGATCGTACACTCAGAAAAAATTCCTTCGATCCGGCCGGATTCGAACCGACGTCTCCAAGCATACCGTGCCAGACGCTATACCAACTAAGCCACGGAACGAACCAGCGGACCTCACGAATTTTTCTATGTGCTTATTGTCGTGTCGACGTATTTAAACGACACGATATTAATTAGTACTGCAGTCTTGTCTGCTTGGGATTTATCATCAGAGGAAATATTGGATCCCAAAGTGGTGGTACGGAGAAACAATCTTCGATGTTGAAGTTACGATTTTGAAAAAAAATTCATAATCAAAAAGCAATCGCGAAAACTTAAGTACTCGCTATCTATAAGTTTTTTTAAATTATTCTTAGAAATAGATAAAAACAATTGTTACAAATGACTATTGTAAAACATTTTATAATCGGATGCCATAATTAAGTTGCTAGTAAAGGGTCTAGATTATCAAGCTTGACACTTGAGAATTGAATTTAATAATAATAATAATAAGAGCTTTATTTATCTACATTAAATAATAATTTAGCCTTAAATAACATAATCTGAAGTTACACATGTAGATAAAAAGGCAAGAGTCTCAGCTTGAGCTGTTTTTCAGACTTTACCTTTTTGGTGAAACGTTAGATTTAATTCTGTAATATTAATAATATAATAATTCTGACGTGTCTCGACAAGCTCCAGTAAAATGACTAAAGTATACAATTTAAACTTAAAGCTATGATTACATTGTCATAATGGTACCAAATCCACATAAAATATTTCATTTCAAAATACATGAAGTATAGATAAAGTATAGATAAGGATGAACTGCACACATAATAACAATAAATAGTGAAAAATTATAATATATATATATATATATATAAATAAATAAATAAATAAATAAAGAACAAAAATAAAAATATGCATAAATCCGCTGGACGACACTACATCCAATTACTAGCAGAACTTTGCTTTGAAAGTAACCAAAGCCTGTATTTCCTTTTGAAAGTGTAAGAAGACTTCAAATTCCTTATTGGAGGAGGCAAATCATTTCAACACTTAGATGTAGCAAATTTGAAACTACCGCGATTTAACTTCTCTTGCGATAAGAAGTTTTTAGCAGCAGCAGAGCTCCTTGTGAAAGATATCGGTCAGGGAAATGCTGCCACCTTACCTATTTCTGCCGCCAAGCAGTAATGTCAGCATTACTGTGTTCTGGTTTTGAAGGGTGCTGGTGAAATTACAGGCACATGGGAATTGTCAACTTATGTTTCAGGGTGACGGGCGCAGTGGCAGTGCCCCTCAGATCTTTGCGATTTAAAGCTCTGAGTGGCACTGCAACTGTTATAGACAGGCGTGTAGCTTACCAGCAGGTGCACGACATGTTCGTCGTTGATATTATAAAAAAAAAACTAGTGTTGTCCAAAATTAGCATAGGTCTTGAAGAATTGGTGTCGTAATTGTAGCAACACCAAGACCAATATCAGGTGTGACTGACGCGAGACCAGACCAAGACTGGGTTAGTCTCGTCTAGGTCTTGCATCGAGCAACAATAACAACAACGCTCAAAGTTTAAAGTGTCTAGTTTCATTTGCTCTTGACGGTACTCAACAGTACGAGTATTAATTAAATTTTTATTGAATTGATATTCAATTATTTTTTGTGAAATATATATAATAATAATTTTTTGTGAAATATGAATAATACCGTGAATAGCGACATCTCTCGCCAGGATTGGTAGCTGTA